TACTTTTAGGGAGCCAAGAAAATGTTTTAAGTTTCATTTCTTTTAAAATAAGAAGGCCAAGTACAGTGGCTTATGCCTATAATCCCAGCACTTTGGCAGGCCAGGCAGGAGGATTACTTGAGCCCAGGAGTTTGAAAGCAGCCTGGGCAACATAGCAAGACCCCACCTCTACAAAAAAAAAAAAGAAAATAAAAAATTAGCCTGGTGAGGTGGCACATATCTATAGTCCTATCTACTCAGGAGGGTGAGGAAGATCCCTTGAGCCCAGGAGTTTAAGGTTACAGTGAGCTATGATCACACTATTACACTCCTACCTAGGTGACAGAGCAAGACCCTGTCTCAAAAAGAAGAGAAATAAATATAGTAATAATGAACATGATGATGATTCCAGCCTGGATTATAGTTGCCTGTATACTAACATAGTTGTAAAATATAATTTTTAATGTTTTTTATGGCAGAAGGGACCTATAAAAGTGCCTAAGGACAAGTCCTTCTCTGATCTGACACCTAGGCTGATGATTTCTTTAAGTTTCTGGAGTGAGTTAGGGGCACAAAAATATCTCTTGAAATAGACACAAAAGAGAAAGGGGAGAGATAATTAGATAACACTTTGAGATCAACCCCTGCCACATACACACATATCTGAGCACTTCTCCAGAATAAATTGTTAGCACTGGAATGTTGAGGCATACAAAGTTTGAAGACATTTGATTTGTTTTGCTACAACAAACAACTCCTATCATCAGTGGATAGGAGTGCCTATTTCTCTCCTATTCAATATACAGTGTTATCATCCTTTGTATTCTCTGTCAATGTAAGAAACTATGAATGTTGCCTCTGTATTTTAATTTATATTTTTAATGCTAGTGAGGTAGATATTTTTTCCTATGCTTATTGGCTATTTGCAGTTCTTTTATTGTTTGCCTATACATGTTCTTTGCCCATTCCTCATTTGGAGTTTTTGTTGACTTCTTATTGGCCAGGCCTATATCCTTACATCTCACAGAGCAGAGAGAATCTGTCTTACTAGCCCCAGCCTGAAATTCCTAGGAATAACTTCAATTGGCTTAGCTGGGACCATGTTCTCTTTCCTGAACCAATCACCATACCCACAGAATGCAGATAAAGATCAAGCAATACTCTTGGCCCAATCTGGAATCTGTGCTCATTCCAGGACTTGTAGGTAGAGGAGTAGGGCTTTGTGATTGACAGCAAGCAGTGGCTACATAGAGCTAGAGAATGAGATGTTCAGGACACAAGAATATTATACTTACCACAGTCAATTGTAGCAGTATACCACTGCAATTTTTCCAAAATTAGTAGACTAGTCCTGAAATCACTTTTTGAATAATCAATTAATCTCCCAAATATGTTTGAGCACATACCAGGTGTAAAAACAAAACAAAACAAACCACAATTCTGGCCAAATAACAATTTTGATTTTGAAATTTCAGTACTTAAATACTGAAATAAACTTATTACTATGTACTAAAGAAATTCTCATAAACTTTGTTATGTTAAATATGAATTAGGGATAGACTGTGTAGAATATGCAGTGTTTTTCACACTTTTTATCAAGCACTTTCTCATATATCTGCTCTTTTTTAAGAGAATATAGTTTGATCAAATGTTGCCATGTTAAATTCTTATGAATACTTGCATTTCTTTCTGGACTTTTTATTTTATTCCATTAATCTGTTTAGTTAGGTTAGTGGTAAGAAATGGATTATACTGAGATGCTGTTAACCAAGAGATCTATCATTTTGGTCCCATTCTCCATACTTTCCCTCTGACACACACTCCCTAGATGCATGAGAATTATGGAAGACAGAGTAATTCTTTACTATTAACAAGGGCTTTATCTCCAAATGCCACCAAAGAACCAAGACCCATAATGAGCTTGATTAAGCCATGTCTGGCTATGGGGTGTGCATTCCCCAACCCCAATACCTAAACCTGAGTCTTAGAACTTACCACTGAGCAGAAATGAAACCACACTCGCCAGCACTAGAGAAAACAGAAGCAAAGGAATTTAGCAAATGTATATTCCAGCCTCATCCTATGTGGGTAATGTTAGAAGTGTTACGAACTCCAGAAGAAGCTGCCTCCAGGCATAGAAGAAAAATAGAGAAGAGATCACACCCATGTTTATTATGACTTTTTATTTATTTTAAACGCTCCACCCCAAATAACATGGCCTAGTCAATTCAATGGAATGTGACTAATCAGGATCAGTGTTCTTAAGCTGAGGGTGGAGTAAGAGGGCTAGAATGAATACAAGAGCTTAACTCCTAAAAGAGGCCAATTTGTTAATAATTATACCAGTAAGATTATTTTATTATTAATTATTATTATTATAGTAATCTTTTTTCTCATCGCTCTTAGAAAAATCACTCCTTTTTTTCTTTCTTCAAATTTATTTTGCTGTTCTCATTTATCTTTTCCACAAACTCTAAGATAGTTTTGTCAAAACTATGTGAACAAATCACATTAGTATTTGTTAAGACTTTTTTTTACAGCAGTTTTAGATTCACAGAAAAACTGAGTGAAAGGTACGGTGATTTCCCATATAACCCGTGCACCTACACATGTGCGTCCTCCCCCATCATCAACACCTCCCTCCAGAGTGGTACACTTGGGAAACCTACATTAACACACTATAATCACCCCAAGTCCATACTTTAGTGTTCACTCCTGGTGTTATACATTCTATGTATTTGGACAAATGTATATTGCCATGTATCTGCCATTCTAGAATCATACAGAATAGTTATATTGCCCTAAAAATCTGTGCTCTGCCTATACATGCCTGATAGATTTTGATAGCTTGTATCCCCTTTGTCATTCAGTTTGAGGAATCTTTTAATTTCTCTCTTAATTTCATAATTGATGCAATAATCATTCAGCAGAAGATCGTTTAATTTTCATGACTGGAATGTTTCTTTTGGAGTTGATTTCTAGTTTTATTCCACTATGGTCTGAGAAGATACATGATATGATATCTATTTTCTTGAATTTATTGAGCCATGTTTTGTGGTCTAAAATATAATCCATCTTGGAGAATATTCTATGTGCTGATGAGAAGAATGTATATTCAATATGTGGGGCGTAAATGTTCTGTAAATGTCTTTTAGGCCCATTTGTTGTAGAGTCTCATTTAAGTCCAGTGTTTATTTATTTATTTATTTTTTGCATCTTTCCACAAGGCCACACTTTTATTGATGCATATTCAATCATAAAAGCCACAAGTGACAGGAAGTTCCCAAAGAGGCAACTGTCCTTAGTACTGTCCATTCACTTGATAGTGAGCTGTGGACACACAGGCTCCAGCCATTCCACAAGTCAGTGGAGTACACAAATATTTAGAATTGTTTTGTCTTCTTGTTGAATTTCTCCCTTTACCATTATGTAATGACCATCTTTTTCTTTCTTTACTATTGTCAATTTAAAGTCAATTTTATCTGATATGAGAATGGCTATACCTGCTTTCTTTTCATTTCCATTTGCATGAAATATTTTTTCCATCTCTTCGCCTTGAGTCTGTATGAGTCCTTGTGGATCAGATATGTTTCCTGGAGACAGCAAATACTTGCCTTGTATCTTTTTTTTTAATCCATTTAGCCACCCTATGTCTCTTGAGTGGGGAATTCAAACCATTCACATTTTTTATAAAATTGATATATGAGTTGCTGGCTGGCAGAAGCCCGAACTAGCTGAGCTCTCCCACAATTGCACTGCAGACTACAGAGCTTCTCTGCCCAAGATGCCAGCCTGGGCAGAGAGTGTGGCCTTTCTGTGGGGGGAGGGCTGCTCCATGAGTGTGCTGGGGCTAGGACCCACACTGTACTCTCCTTCAGTTCCACTCCCTCGCCTCCTGAGATTAGTTGACATATCTCTTCTCCATGTCCTCAAACAACAAAATTGAGACCTGAGGATATAGGATCTGGCCTGTGGGCCTGTGCCTTGGTCCCTGAATATCCATCCTTGACCAGGCCAGGGGTAAGTGTGCTGATCCCAATTTGCCTACGAGGTACTTAAGCATGTTTGATGTCCCTCCACTTCAGGATTTGCCTTGCTCTGATGGAGCTACAATGCAAGCAGCACCAGGGAGAACCAGTGAGCCAGGAGCTCATAGTCCAAGCACTCCTCAGCCTGCTGTAGGATCCCAGTAATTATTTTTTTAAACATTTTTCTGTTCCTCTCCCCCCTCTCCCTTTTTTTTCCTTCTGGTATTGCTGGAGTGCAGTGACCTGATCATAGCTCACTGCAGCCTCAAACTCCTGGGTGTTAGTGATCCGCCTGCCTCAGCCTCTGGAGTAGCTGGGACTCTAGTCACATGCCATCATCCTGGCTAAGGTTTTCTATTTTTTGTAGAGATATGGTCTCACTGTGTTGCCCAGGATGATCTCAAACTCCTGGCCTCAAGCAATTCTCCTGCCTCCCAAAGTGGTGGGATTACAGGCATGGAGCCACCACACCTGGCCTTCTATTCTATTCTATTCTATTCTATTCTATTCTATTCTATTCTATTCTATTCTATTTCTATTTCTATTTCTATTTCTATTTCTATTTCTATTCTTTTTACAGTCTTTTTTCTCCTTGCTTTTCAGTTTTACAGGTTTCTGTTGATATATCCTCAAGGTCAGTGATTCTTTTATCACTGTGTGTTTAGTCTACTATTATAATAAGCCTATCAAAGGAATCCTTAATTTTTGTTACAGTGTTTTTGATCTTTAGCATTTCTTTTTGATTCTTTCTTAGGATTTCCATCTCTCTGGTTCTATTGCCCAACTGTCTTGTATGCTAGCTATTTAATCTATTAGAGCCCTTAGCATATTAATTATTATTGTTTTAAATTCCTGGGCTGATAATTTCTACATCCCTGCCATGCCTTGTACTGATGTTTGCTCTTTCTTAAAATTGTTTTTTGCCTTTTAGTATGTCTTTGTAATTTTTTTCTTGATAGGCAAATATGATGTATTTTGTAAAAGAAAATGCTGTAAACAAGCCTTTAGTAATGTGGTGTTAAAGGGGCAAAATGTCCTATAGACCTATGACTAGGTCTCAGTCTTTTAGTTAGTGTATGTCTCTGGACAGTAAACTTTGTAAGAGCTTCTCAGTTCCCCTCTCCCCTTGGGTAGGACAAGATGGCTAAAGTTGGCTGAAGTTGAGTATTTCCTTCTCCATTGTGAAAGGCTAGAATGGGCTGCAGTTGGGTATTGCCCTTCCCCCAGGTCAATTAGGCTGTGATAAAACTACTGCAGATTAGGCTGTGGTTAAATAGTTTCTACTGAGGGTAGACCTTGTTAAGAACAGAGTGCTCTGGAGCATTTCAAAATGGCTGCTTTCCTTCTCCCCTTGCCAGATGCATGAGGGGATTTTTCTCTGATATTTACTGTGAGGTAAAACTAACAAAAGCATGGAGACTTCTTATTGACTGCATTCTCCCTGGAGTTTTTAACTCTCAAACTTGTCCGCACTGAGCCTCCAACAATTTAGCAACAACAGTTCAGGTTTTCCTACTCCAGCACTGGTTCCTGCAGCAGTTTCTGTTAGTGAGTCAGCTCTGGTAAGTCATGACTCCCTTTATTTTCCTGTCTGTCTGTTCTTGGGGAAACAGTTTGCTCTGTATCTTTGCTTCTCCTATGTATCCAAAAAGAAGTCGTTGGTTTTTCAATTCATTCAGACTTATTTGTTAGGACAGAATGCTGAACTCTAAGCCCTTATATGCAGAATCACAAACCAGAAGTCTCCCAATTAGTATTTTTAGTTTGCATTATTATAATCAGTATTGTACTCAGTTTATATTTTAAAGTAATAAAAAATGCTTCTCAGTACAATTGTCCAATTCCGAAAACAGTCTCCATATTTATTCAATTTAGTATGTACTATCACTTGTTTCTTAATTGCTTTCCTCTGTGGAAAATTTTTCCCTGCCTCTGTTTTTTCTTTTCTTTCACTATATTTTCTGTTTCTTCCTTGAGGCCTTCTTCTCTATGTTTCTTACTTTTTCTCCTCCTCCCTTTGTCATGATACATTTCTGTAGTGCAAATAGGCAATATGCTCATAGGTATATATTTGATTTCAGCTTGACAATTATATAATTTATATATAATTAGTAGTACTTAAATGATTAATGCTATCAATCAATAGGTTATTTAATGTCAGGGGCTTTTACATGTTACTTTGTAATTATTTTAATGCTAAATTTATTGTGTTCTAATTATCAAAACTGTGAAACTCAATTTTAAGCATATAACACTCTCTTTCTTTAAAAAGCATATTATAATTGCAGCTTTAATATAATTTACTGAACAATTAAATAACTTTAGAGCAAGAAAAAATGGTATTTTTGTAAATATAATGATTAAAAAACTTTGCCCTACATTAAAACCTCCATAGCTGGATGCAATTATTTCTGACTTTCCTTTATAAAGGTATAGTAATGCTTATTTTGTTATCCTCCCAGGATGACACACAAGAAAATCTTCCTCTAAGCAGCTTCTATTATATTGCTGTCCTCTCCTGTTCAGTTACTCAGGAGTTAAGACCACCACAATCTGAGTTATGTGCTGTATTTGTTACTTAGGGCTGCCATAGCAAAGCTCCACAAACCGAATGGCTAAAACCAGAAATTTATCCTCTCACATTTCTGGAGGCTAGAAGTCTAAAATCCAGGTGTTGTGTGGATTATGCTCCCTCCAAAACTTCTAGAAGAGGATGCTTCCTTAACTCTTCCAGATTCTGGAATTAATTCCAGCCCCGGGAATTACTTGGTTTATGGCAGCATAACTCTAATCTTTGCCTCTGTCTTCTCATGGTTATTTTCCTTCTGTGTGTCTCTGTGTCTTTGCATGGCATTTTTCTTCTCTTATTATAAGGACACTAGTCATATTGGATTAGAATCCTTCCTAATGACCTCATCTTAACTTGATTTTTATCTTCAAGGATCCTATTTCCAAATATTCTGGGGTACAAAGGTTATGACTTCAACATATCTTTTGGAGGGATATAATTCAATCCTTAATAGATGCCTTGGCTGGGGATGCTGATATCTTTCTGAATAACTTCCCTAAAAGTACGTTTTTTCTCTGCCTCCTATACAAAGGGGAAACTAGCTATCTCCATAGTATCTCCCACTCTGACATAAGCACCACCCCTTCCTTCCTCTTCTTCATGCTTGGAGTATGGATGTGAAGCATGGATGAAACAGCTATCTTGTGACCATTAGATAAAAAACATGAGTAGAACAGCCACAAGCCAAGGATGATGAAGCAGGAATGTATTATAGAAAGATCTTGAAATACTGATGACATTATGTTGTTGCTGCATTCACCCTTTGAACTTCTTATCATTTTAGAAAAGTTAGACCCCATTGTGGTTAAGTCACCATAGATGAGGGTTTGTGCAACTAATATATCGTTTCTGCCTTTGAAAACAACCTCAAAACAGTAAAACTCAAAACAGCTGGTTTCAAGACTATTTGTGTTTCAAGACTGCATCTCCTGGCTTAACTGCTTATGCAAACCTATGAAAGTCAATCATGTTTATTAGTGATTTAATATTAGCATATCTTAGCATAAGAGAAGCAGGTAACATCTTTTTAAAGTAATAAGTAATATATATTTTAGTTATATTTTTCTTATTCTTTTTGTCTTAAATCAAAGTGTGACCTCTATATCTCCACACCTATTAGTGAAATTTTGAATTGTAGTCTCCTTGGTGACACATGACCTCCACACAAAAGGATTATTGGCAGCAACTCATTTGTTCATGTGTGTGATTGTGTTTGGCTTTGGCTTTGTGACTTTAAATTTAGGTCACAAGTGACCTCAGACACTGCCTATTGATAAATTTCCTATATGGTTTCTGATTTGGCTGGCTGTTTCCTCATCTTCCCTTGCTTTCTGTTTCCACTTTCCTAGTGCTGACTTTGGCATAAGATTTTAACCTTCCTTGCAACTGAAAGTACCAAGGAATTTTGGCTGAGCTAAAATTGTGTTAACAAAAATTGTTAATAATAGTGGTAACCCCTAGCAAGACTGATCAAGAAAGAGAGAAAACAAAAATTGCCAATATCAGAAATAAAAATAGGTTCTAGAGAAATAAAAAGAATAAGAAGTAATTATAATGAATAACTTTTTGTCAATAGATTCAACAATTTAGATGAAATTGACATTTTTGAGTGAGTTCACTTCCAAAACCAACCTGAGAATAAAGAAAAAAATCTGAACAGCATGTGAAGGATCTGAAATTATAATCTACTTGTAAGCTAACAAGTTAGCCACACTTTCAAGGATACTGGAAGAAAATACAAGACTTCTGGGTCAGAGACAAAGAATGGTATTTTATTCATAGCAATGAAGGAGTGTAATAAATTAAAGCTTCTAAAACATTTTTGTTTCTTAAATTTTATTTTTACTCAAGGTGCATATGCATAATTTAAGAAACCAAATGACATTATAAATGCTATAATAAAAACAGTTGTTGGAGCCACAGGTGACAGGACATGTTTTAATAGATGCTTTAGTAAAGAAACTGCAGCAGAGAAAACAGGAAAACAGAGTTGAGAATCAAAATGTTCAAAGGAAACAGCAAAGTTGCTATTGAAACCACCATTTCCTGTGAGTTAAACAAGTTCAAAATCATTTCCTTCTCAGAAGAGAGAAATTACCTAAGGTAAAATTGTGTAATTAGGTGAACAGTGTAAACATTAATTCAATGCTATCAAAGTATATTGCCTACATTATCTCTTTGACCGTTATATCTTATATTCCTCCCAGTAATATAAACACTTAGATGCCTAACAAGTTTAGATACCTAACAAGTTTAACTCATGAGTGACTGAATCTAGCAGCACTATTCAAAATCATGTAAGCACTCCATAAGGACAAGCATCAACCTATTAATTTATTCATTTATGCATGTTTATTTAGAAAATATATTTATCCTGTTGGAATTTTATAATTTTTAAAACTTATCTATCATAATTATTTCAGGATAAATCATATCAGAAGAGGACTGTTTAAAGCAATATACTTTAAATGAGAACCACAACTTATAATGGGGAAATTATTTAAATGAATTTTCTTTTGAAAACTGAAAATAAAATTTGAAAATTGGATTCATTTTTTTCAAATATTTAACAAAGGCTTAACTGAGATTTGCAACCATGGACTAATTTTAGGGAAAAAAAGAATGTTGATGGAATCAGCATAATTTTTTAGGGAAGATATGTGGTAACATAGAACAGCATATTTCACTTCACATTTGACTTGTAAAGAGGGTCATTAAAAAATATGTGTCAGAGGTCTTCATCAATTTTCCAAAGAACTCTAGAACTCTTACAATCCTTTAACATTTAAATTATTCTTTTTAAGGACCAATGGAGTCATCATTTCATTTGTTCTCCTTCACATGTTAACTGGTTTAATTCTAGTCAGCTCTTTTCTCAACAGCTTTTTAAATAAATTCCTAAAATCCTGAATCTTTTGCAAGAATTGCAATGTCTCTTTATAATCGATTTATTATATTTGCCTTGTATTATTGGATGTCGACAGCATTGCACAGTTAGCAAGAGACTTATGAAGATGTTGACTCTTCCTGCAAGAATTAATTGTAATTATATAGGGAGTAATTATATAACTCTATTAGTGAATTTATGACTACTTTAGCTGCCCTGTGATACCTTGTAACTGCGGTGACTTGTATATGAATACTTGGATAATGAGGATGGCTATATTTTTAATATGTTAGGACAGAATTTATATAATCTTCTGATAATCAGGCTGTAGCATTGTCACGTACATCTTCCTAATTAATTGTAATCTCATATTGCTAAGAAACTTGAATTTACTAGATAGTTTGGAGAATTATAAAAAATAGAATATTCTTATAAATATAGATTTATACAAAAAGTTCCTAGTTGAAAATATTCCAAAACTCTGAGTCCATATTTCTGTTAGTCACTGTATCCATACTGTATATCATGGACTATTTATTTAAAACAATCCTGTCTAATAGAAATATAATGTAAGCCACACATATTTAAAATTTTCTTTTAGCTACATTAAAAAGGTAAAAATAATCAGGAAAAATTAATTTTAACAATATATATTATTTAATCCAATATATTCAAAATATTCAACATGTAATCAATATAAAAACTATTGAGAAGATATTTTACACTCTTTATTTCATACCATGTGTACATTTTGCACTTAGAGCACATCTCAGTTTAGACTAGCCACATTTAAAGTGCTTGGTAACCCTGTGTGGCTAGTGCTATGGTGTTAGCACATATTTAAGGACTGAGTTCTTTCAAGTGGCTCAGCCCTAGAGCATATTTTATTCAACATTCAAGCAGTTTTCTGTTTACTCAATATGAGTAGAAATTCTGAATCAGAAGGTGTGATGGACTGAATATTTGTGTCTTTCCAAAATTCATATGTTGGAACCTTAACCCCCAATACCATATTAAGAGGTGGGGCCTTTGAAAAATAATTAGGTTCAGATGATATCGTGAGGATGGAGCCCTCCTATGGGATTAATGTCCTTATAATAAGAGAAAGAGACTAAAGCTTTCTCTCCCTCTCTGCCACATAACAGCACAGCAAGAAGGTGGCCATCTGCAAGGCAGGAGGGCCCTCACCAGGAACTGAATTGGCTGTCACCCAGATGGTGTATGAGGCTTCCCAGTCTCCAGAACTGTAAGAAATAAATTGTTTAAAGCACCCAGTCACTAAGAGGGAAAGATGGCAGAGAAGTAATACAATAATACAGACAGAGGTAATATGATAATATAGTTTAGTGAAAAAAGGAAGAGATGTATGAAAAGGAAATAAGGGAGCAAAGAGGAATGGAGACGCTTAAGGGAGCAGAAAATGTAACATAGAAAAGGTAAGATTTGAGTTGGGGCTTGAAGGATGAGTAAAAGTTTGACAGAGAAAGAAGTGAGAAAACGCTGTAGTCAAAACAAACAAAAACACTGAGTCACAACAGAGGAACCTGGCATTTGGTGTCTGGTGAGAAGTTTAATAGAGTTGAACTGTAGGAGCCAGGGTCTGCAGGCTGGGTAGGTGGCCTGACAATTGCAAAATGTTTGGATCAGCCACTGCTCAAAATAAAAAGTGTATCTGATGAAAATGTTGCTGAGCAACAACAACTCTTATGATGCCCATCAACATAGTTTTTCTGTTTTCTGTAGTTCTAATTAACAGAAACTATTAATAACACAAGCATTTTTGACCAAGGATTAAGTTAGCTCACAGGAAAATGCAAAGGGAGAGTACTAAAGATACCAGTGTGAATATGCTTGTGATTTTTGATTATTGGTTCCCAGGTTAAATGGAGAAAAGAAATAAGAGACAGCTTGGGATTGGGAATAATAGGCTGAGAGAATAAGATGATGAGAAGCCTGCAAGTCATCATAAATAGGACAAAGGCTGTAGAAGCAGGGACAGTACAGAACTTAAGAGGCGGGAGGGAGAATGTTATGACCAAAGGATAGGAATTTGGAGGTAGAGCAATACTAGTTGGTAAGGCCCGGGAATATGTCTGTATGAAAAACTTGTTAAAATCAGAGTAGCAGAGTTGGTTAAAGAAGTTTATGGGCAAAGTGTTAGATAATTCAAATTAAAATGAAGATTATGAGCCAAGGTCCAACTCTTCAAAGTTTAAAGAGGAGCTCTGAGGATGATGACAGTAAGAGTGGAATTTGATATAAATGAACATCATATATCTCAAAGGTTACTAAGGGAAGGATGTGTAGCAATGGTCTGGAAGAAGCAGTGAGAAGCTGGGAGAAGTTTAGCACTAACATTTCAAGATACAGTGAATGAGAGAGATTGAGTGTCTTTGGCCTTAATACTTTGCCAGGGATAAGATGTCATCAGGGCAAAAAGCAGCAGCCTGGTACAAAATAGTGCTTCTCAAACTTTGACTATATCCCAGAAACACTGGGAAGAGCTGATTAAAAGCACTGATGGGTGGTTATGGTGTGGAAATTCTAATGTACATCAACATGAGAGAGCTATTGTCATAGAGACAACCTGGGTTTCATTCACTTCTTTTACTTTGTAAACTTGAGCAATGTATTTGGGGCCAATAACTCTGGCCCTCAGTTTCTTCATTTCCTCACTTTTCAGGATCATAATGAAGTAAACATGAACTGAGAACATGCCAGGCTGTGCTGTGCTATGAAAAGTAAAAGGCTAGTGGTCATGAACCACAATGAACTGGCAGAAGATAGCTGCCCTCTTTGAACAAGCATGCAACTATTAGGCTTCCCCAGTCATGGGCAGGGTTGAAGCTAAAGGGAAGAAGATGAAGGCATGTTGCTATGGTAACTGTGCACTAGCTCTCTCAGCCTCTCCACAGGAGAGCTGATTTTCCTGCACACTATTTGCAATTTGTACAAAGGTCTTTGTTCAATTACTGAGAGGCTGATAGTGTAACTGCTGATGTATATGAACCATTCTCTGAGGTCGCCCCAGCAGAAAGGCCCTGAAGAAACTTGGAGTGCACAGTATGAACTTTTCTCTTGCCTAACTCAAATCAACATTATTCCATAGAGAAAAGCATTACTCCATAGAGAAAAGAAAGGTAGCCCCAGGAAGATGTTTAAACTGAAGTTGAGTTAACTCATATTTCAACCTCAGAACACTCTTATCAAACTAATAAATGCAACAAGAGGATGTGCAACTTCAATAAATGTTTTTCTCTGAATTATATCTATGCTAAAGAAAGTTTTAAAAAATATTTATAGGAAAACAAGTATACCAATGTTTAAGAGTTTAGAAATGCATGCTACTCAATTCTCATCTTTTTATTTTTATTCAGGATATTATAAGGGTACAAACATTTTGGTTACATATAATGCATTTGCCCCACCCAAGCCAGGGTGACAAGCATGTCTCCACCCATATAGTGCATTCCACTTCCATTAGTTATGGGTTTATCCCCCCTACCCCACCCCTGACCAGCATCCAATGAATATTATTACCATGTGAACACCTTAGTATTGGTCAGTTAGTATCAATTTGATAGAAAGTACATGAGTGCATGTTTCTCTATCCTTGCGATACCTCACTTTGAATGATAGGCTCAATCTCTATCCAGGATAATATAAGAGGTGGTAGATTACCATTGTTTTTTGTAGTTGAGTAGCATTCCATGGTATACATATGCCACATTTTATTAATCCACTCATGGATTGGTGGGCACTTGGGTTGTTTCCACATCTTTGCAATTGTGAATTGTGCTACTCTGAATATTCGAGTGCAGATGTCTTTATTATAGAATGTCTTTTTTTCCTTTGATAGGTGGATAGTAGTGGGATTGCCAGATCAAATGATATTTCTATTTTTGGCTCTTTGAAGTATCTCCAGATTACTTTCCACAGGGGTTGTACTAGTTTGCAGTCCCACCAGCAGTGTAACAGTGTTCCAGTCTCTCCATATCCTTGCCAGCATTTGTTCTTTTGGGACTTTTTGATAAGGACCATTCTCACTGGAGTTAGGTGATATCCCATTGTAGTTTTGATTTACATTTCCCTAATGATTAGAGATTTTGAGCACTTTTTTTTTTTTAGCATTTTTTTTTATTTTGGCATATTATGGGGGTACAGATTTTAAGGTTTCAATAAATGCCCATTTCCCCTCCTCCCCCCAAAAGTCTGAGTCTCCATCATGACCATCCCCCAGATGGTGCACATCTCACTCATTATGTATGTATATACCTGCCCCCCTCCCCCCTCCCACCTGCCCAATACCCTATTACTGTAGTACCTATGTGTCCACTTAAGTACTACTCAGTTAATACCAGTTTGCTGGAGAATATATCTGGTGCTTGTTTTTCCATTCTTGGGATACTTCACTTAGTAGTATGGGTTCCAGCTCTAACACAGGAAATAATAAGATGTGCTATATCGCCATTGTTTCTTAGAGCTGAATAGTACTCCATGGTATACATATACCACATTTTATTAATCCATTCTTGGATTGATGGGCACTTGGGCTGTTTCCACAGCCTTGCAATTATGAATTGTGCTGCTATAAACATTCGAGTGCAGGTGTCTTTTTTGTAGAGTGTCATTGGATCATTTGGGTAGATGCCCAGCAATGGGATTGCTGGATCAAATGGTAGATTCACTTGTATCGCTTTAAGGTATCTCCATATTGCTTTCCACAGAGGTTGAACTAGTTTGCAGTCCCACCAGCAGTGTAGGAGTGTTCCTCTCTCTCTGCAACCACGCCAGCATTTATTGTTTGGGAATTTTTGATAAGGCCATTCTCACTGGGGTTAAGTGATATCTCATTGTGGTTTTGATTTGCATTTCCCTGATGATTAGAGATGTTGAGCATTTCTTCATATGTTTGTTGGCCATTTTTCTGTCTTCTTTAGAAAAGTTTCTGTTCAAGTCCTTTGCCCACTTTTTGATGGGGTTATTTGATTTTTTCTTCCTGATTTTCGTGAGTTCTCAGTATATTCTA